GTCCTCCTCAGTACCACGAGCATTGTCACACTAAAAGGTCGAGCTGGGCGGCGGAAAAGAGCTCTTACTGAAATGGAAAGTGATACCATTCGACTCACTTTTCATTTATTATTGAAAGACAGAGTTTATCCAACCCCTGAAAATATATTAGCTACATTTTGTTAGCACAAGATGCAGATTTTCCAATCAAATCAAAAACGTCGCTTTATCGACAAATGAAACACTTAGGCTTCAAATGTCGACAGACGAGAAAAGCGCCCTTGTGATTGGATGCTACACCCTTTCATGCTCATCGCGCTGTTTACTTCCGTAAATTGGAAGAATTAAGGTCAACAAATTTCGTGATTTACTTTCACGATGAGATCCGGGTAAATCGCAATGAAGAAAAAACCAACGTCTGGTTTGATGAAGAAGGTCATGGACGATTACGGGACAGTGAAGGAAAAGGTCAGAGATTAGCTATCAGTGATTTGGTGAGCTTAAATGGTTTTGATCTACGCACATTGTATATTTAAATGTGATGAAGTTCACAGTATGGACAGTGTGGATTTCACAGCATAGATGGAAAGCGCTGCAGACACACTGCGCGCAGAACATGGTCGTGCAGCTAAAATTGCTATAATTGTCGATAATGCAACTTGGCACAATAAACTGACATTCGAATGTGAGGCACCTAAAAGAGCATGGCGAAAACAATTAGTGGCTGACTGGCTGACTGCAAAAAACTCAGATTCGATGCTTTTATGACTAAAGCAGAATTATTGGAAAGTGCTTATAAGAATTTGCCACCAAAGGAATACATGGCTGACAAGGCGGCTGGAAAGTGGGGATGGAAATTGTTCATATTCCTGTCAAACATTGCGTACTTAAGCCAATCGAGCTGGTGTGGGCTGGTTTAAAAAACTTTGTTCGTAATCGAAATGTTCGATTTAGTCTCAACGGTGTGGAACAGCTCACAAAAGAAATGGTTATCGTCATGGGTCCTGAAGACGTTGGACCTTATTTCGACCATGTTAAAAAACATGAAGAAATCTTCAAGGCAGCCGATAAAATAGCAGGAGAGATGGATAATGATTTAATCGATGACGACGATGCTGATAATAATCTAATCGATATCGATAGTTCAGACAGCGACTGAAAATAGTCGTTCTTCTTCATATACAGTCATGCGAACGAAAAAAAAGTGAAATATAGCACGATATTACGATTAATAATGAAAATAAAAATACCTAGACATGTTTAGCGGGTGTGGACTACTTTCAAAGTGGAAATAAACATTGCCACGTTGATGAGCGGCATAAATTACCTATATGCCATATATTTTTAAAGAATTTGTAGTAAAAAAAGCGTTCATTTGGGTACCTGTAGGAAATCTGCGCCCCCTGCCAAACCATGCAATTTCATGAGTTCGCTTGACTCCCATTTTTTAGAGGACACTTGTAGCTACATACCCCTGTATAAAAACGACTACATTTCTATCAGTCTTTCCGGAATTCTGCTCTGGCTTTCCAAAGATCTTCTCAAAAACCAACTTGAAAATTTTTTCCAAAATTTGCTTCCGCTTTTAGAAACACGGGCTCAGGTCTCTAGTTCCTAAAACTGAAAACCGTACCTCTCTATCTATTACCTATCCAAAGTTATTCAAAAGCAACCGATGCTCTTGTATTTTGGAACGGACAGTAATCACTGGAAATCAGCTAGTTCGGATAATAAAAGTGTATATCGGCTAACACCAACCAGATGCCGGTATTGTCAATTGCTCTAACTATATCTCAGTGATTTTCGTTTTGATGATTTCGTTTGAGCGGTGCTTGTTCCATTCTATCCTACATTTTCAATATAAGAACATCGTCTGTCATTTTTTTCTTTTGTCATGTCTACAACATATTATTTACGGTTTTGTTTACATGAATACATTATTGGCATACGAACACGACGTGCAGAGTGTAACCATCTTGTAACTTCATCAAATACTAACCAAGGCATGAATTGATACAGTTGTAGGCATGTATATGTATCCATTTGTGCAGAGGATGCTGGTACGAAGTAGGATTGTCCATACCAATGAAATACAGAATTTTTATTAATATTTTGTAACTATTGCCAAGCTCGTCCTTGTAGCGCGACTTGTTAGTATGCCAATGATGTATTCATGTAAAGAAAACCGTAAATAATATGTTTGTAGACATCAGCAGGATTTATGATTCATTTTAATCTTTCTGTTATAGCTGATCAAGGTAGATTCCATAGTGGCGGCGCCACAGGTGGGCTCAGCCCATTCTAAATTAGTTTGAGCCCACCCAGAAAATTTTTTTCTGAACTACTTCACAAAATTCAGTGAGGCCGAGTCCACACTAGTCTAAATTGCTGGCGCCGCCGTTAAGATTACAGCTTTTAAGAAGCAGGTGTTGAAGAAAAAGTATCAAGTCGATCGTAAATTCGATAAGAATACTAAAAGAGGATTTTTATTTGTAAATAGCTACGTGCTATATTTCTGACGTTAAAAAAAGTTTAATACTTAAACGATAAGACATAGATTAACCTCATTCTTCAAAAACATCTTCATGTACATTTCTGCCTTTTCCCGTGCACCTTTCTGTAACCGTGCTCAAAAATATGAAAGATTTTTTAGTGCACGGAAAACAGCAAACTGTGCGTAATGCTGGAAATAACCGTGTACAGAAAAGTGCGCGTCCGAGCGATATGAACAATCACGGATTAGTGATCTTATTAATATCTATAGAACTGATACGCCACGAATAAACGAGACGATCTCCGAATAAATATATCTTTCGCCAATATGATAAAACAGAACCTACAGAAATTCAAATAGACTTCTAATGACAAAAGAAAAAAATGACAGACGATGTTCTTCTAAACCCCCCCCCAAAATAGAAGGCCACCCTATATTAGAAGGGCACCCTAAATAGAAGGCCACCTCAGAGGCAATTCTGTAAAATCCATATTAAAAGGCCATGGCCTTTTATTTTGTCTCATGAT